GCTGAACAGAACGGAAAGGTGAACGCGGTTTGATGGGTCACGAAGGAAGGTGTAGGAAGCGCCGTGTTCTTCACCTCCTGACCTTTAAACATTTCTTTTGAGTTCAAAGTGCTTCCTCTGTAAATATTTTGCATGCTAAAAAAAAAAAAAAAGAATCAGCCAGAGAACCTGCTTCCCTTTTTTCTCGCCATCACGGTACGAGCAGGCTGCAGTCTGAGGGCTGACTACGCAAGTAAGGCGATCTTGGCTGCTCTGCCAGGACCACCGTCTGCTCGAGGTGGCTTTCACTGAGGAGGACCACACGCTCTGCGACCCCACCTGTGCTCCCGGGGCAGAGCCTCGCCTGCTGGGACTCCCGTGGGTCACCGTGTAAGCAGGTCGGGGCAGAATTAAGATTTCTTCTCCCAGGCTGGGAGCTGGAGCCGGACCCGTGGGAGCTCCGGCTGGGTGCTCGGCCGGCTCGCTGCCAGGCTAGCCCAGCATACCCACGGCAGAGGATAGTCCAACACCTCGGAGACTGGTTAAACCAGCTGGACACCTGTGGTTTGGGCCAGTGTTGAACAGCCTGTGGCTGGGTAAGAAGGGCTCTGCCTGAAGTCCCTACCAGCCCTTAATTTTGCGCAGCACAGATGGGCCTTGCTGTCTGCGGGCTCCCTGCTGCTCTCTGCTGGTGCTGGGTGCACAGGAGGGCATGCTTTCAAAAATGGAGATACTCCACTGTCGATGTGTAGCTTGTAGCCAGCACAGTTACATTCACCTTAGCCATAGGCAAGACTGTTATCCCCTTCAATGCCACCTCTACCTAGTTCTGCAGATTCAGTTTGCATAGTGTGCTTGGTTAGTTTAAGGGGTTTTTTTTAAGACACAAACCAGAGCAGAGGACCAAAATCCTTTAGGAAATGTTGCTATATTTTGTGCTGAACTTTTAATTTTTTTTTTTTTTTTAAGTGGAAGTCGTATTCCCTGCTCAATTCTGCGGCGTTGATCCTGGACTGGGGTGTCCAGAGGTGTCAGGAGCCGAGTGCAGTGATGGGTCCGTATAGAAAGCAGCCTTAGCAAAGCCAGGCAGTGTCCTCCTCGCTGCGAGGAGGAGCTGAGCCTGCTACAGCGGCAGCTGGGCTTGAACTGAAGTCTTGAGCTACCTGTGGCCCTCTCAGGCTTTTGAGAAACACGTACGTCACTCCCTCCAACTGAGCAGATGGAGGGAGCAGAAAGCAGTAATGGGCTTCGGCCACTAACGCCTGCTTTGTCTTCCCACCAGCTTGCTCCCCAGCCCTCCGTTTCCCTCCTTCTTAAGTGCTGCTCCTAACCCATGCATGGGATGTGTTTTGAGGCCCTCGTTTGAAAACAAGTTTGTGAGGGAAAAGTATTCATTTTTATTTTACTCACGGGTACATTTTGATCGTATCATGGACAGTAAAATACCAATGAGGCATTTGTTAATCTACCAGAGAAGTCCCTGCCTGAAGGGAGGAGAATGTAGGACATTTTGAGCCTGAATAGATGAGAAAGCTGCATTAGCTGGTGCAGTTTGTTTCTGATCAGTCTCTCTAGTTGCAAAAGGCTGTAATTGTACAGTAATTCACTGCTACCTTATTTCTAAAATCCCTGCAGATGATTCCCACCAGACAGACTGCTTTGGTAAGCAGTTCATTTCAATACCTCACAAAAGCTACAGCAGAGAGCAGGGCGAGGACAAAATGAAGCAGAAGTGATTTACTGAGCAAGCAATGTCATCACTCTGCTGCACATCATGTCTTTGCAAGATAGAAATTTGTTGGTTGATCTTGCCTTACAGAACAAACAAGATTAAGTGGCAGAGGCACAAAAAGCAGTCCTGGCTCTCTGGGTCCAAGGCACATTTGCAGGCATGCATCAGATCTTTTTTCTGTCTCCAGTGGCATGTGCTTGTTGGCAAGATAATGTTTTGGCATGCAGCACATCTCATAAACAGCTACCTGCTCATGGCGTCTGTTTAGGTAATTGAATCAGTTCCAGTTTGCCATCCTCCGTGTTTATAAAGCCTTCCCTTGTGAATTATGCAAAAATGTAACTTGGTTTTTCCTGATAAAAAATTCAGATTAGTCTGACTCACACCATGTAGAGCAGTAGCTGGAGTCACTTCTAGAGTCATGGAACTAGAGGAAGCCACCATGCTGCGAAATTATAGAACTATAAGTAAGTGTGTGAGTGTGAGTGTGCGAGAGTGTGTGCACGCGCAGACGCGCACGCTCCAAGGGGAGCTCTGCAGTAGTTGCTAAAGAGAAAGAGAGGAAGAATTACATCGTTATAATCTCAAGGGCAGCAAAGTGAAACTCTGCAGTCTCCACAGGGGAAAATACTCTTTGGCTCTGTTATCAGTCCAGATTAAATCCCCGGGTGTCCATACTCAATCACTTACAGTTGCTTGAACAAGCACTCTTCTCATCTGAGTTTGTGCTTATGGCACAGAATTCTCTCTGGTTTTAAAACTTAAATAATAAATGATATATTAGAAAAGCAATACAGCTTCGGTACAAGGAAAGGCATATTGCTTGCAGCTATTTGATTTCATAATTTAAAATTTCCTTTTTTTCCCCCCATTTTAATGTCAGCACTGAGGTATTTGCTAATGGGAGAACCAGTATATCATTAGATATTCTTCCCGATCTTCCTCCACCCGGTTTTGCCACCACCCAAAACATAGGAGCAAGCAGCAGCCTGCCCTGGCTGGCTTGAGGAGTTCACTGCCTCAGGAAGTGATCAGATCACATCTCTGTCAGGATATCCTGTCTGCTTGGGAATGAGAAATGCAACTCCAGAGAAAAAAAAGGGCATGTGTTAAACGCCAGAGAGAAGACGCAGAACGAGTTGCATCTCATTTCAAAACTCCTCCTGAAGTCACTCTGCCGAATTAAAAGGACCGATCCCTGAAAGACATGAGAAAAGCATACTGAGCGAGCATTTCTGGGAGGGAACAGCCCTACACGGAGAGGATGCGCTACGGGCTGTGCAGATGCTAAGAACACGGCACTATCTCTTCTAAATGCAGGGTTGGGTGAACGTGAGAGACTCCGACGGCTGTCTTGCCTGAGCCTGGGAATATGTGCGTTGCTTTGGGCAGTGCTAGTGGGAGGCCCAGACGTAGCTAAACCCCTTCAGTGCACCTGTACCGCAGCAGGACGGTTTTTCATTTGCACATAGCACAAGAGGACTCCTCTGGCAGTAGAGCCCATGAGCAAATACCACCATACAAATAGCAGATAATAATGGTAGCTTCTTCAATGCTCGCTGTTGTCTGAATTTCCTGATGGCACAGTCAAACCTCACCCATCAAAATATAACGATGCAGAAGCCAGGACGTAGCACCTCTCCCCAGGCGTGACCTGGTTGTAGAGTCCCACCCGTGATACCACTGACAGAGCCCAAAGAGCAGCAGGCAGGATGGAACTCCACTTGGTTGCAGACTGCATGTAGCGGACAGGGGAGGGCAAGGTACATCACTCCTTAGCATCAGGCAGGTTTGACTGGGTACATCAATGCTGCAGATTTGGAAAGCTAAATACTTTGTGCAAAAAATATAAAAACTTAGTTCAACAGTTTTTATGCTCAGCAGGCTTACTTGAACCATCTAGTCTGACCAAGGGCTGTAAGAGCTGCCATAGACCTCAACTTTTGAGGCTGCTTTGATGATTTTAAAACACACTTTTTAAAGAATACTGACTTTGCCAGACAAAGACAAGTAACACAGAATCTACAGCTTCAGATGAACTGTTCCTTGTTTCACATTCTTTGCATAACTGGTAGCTTGCATTGCCCACATGTGTCTACACATCAGTTTTAGGTGGCTTGGTTTGCTCTCTGCCATGCGATAGTCACAAAAGGCACCAAGGCAGAACAGGAACCAGCGGATTCATGAGTAAAACAGGGGCACAAAGAAGTTAGAGGGGAGATAACATGGAGCTGGGTAGAGGCACAGGGACATACAATGTAGGCATAAAGTAGGATATACTCAACCCCAAAGGAGATTGGGTCTTTATTTGGTCCATTTTTCTGAAAGCTGCTTGTTTCACCCAGTATTCATCACAGCTTTTGAAGGGCCAACAAGCTGCAATGGTAGTCAATGGGCAAGCATGTTCTTGCCATAAAACAGTGAGGCAATTCCGTCTGCAGAGCACCTCACTGCTGAGACAGAAGCCTTCGTTCCTTACATCAGATGGATGTCTTTTGATATGTGAACCTATCCCTTCTGTAATTGCACTAATTAGTACCGTTGCAAATCTCTTGATGTTTCTTCATTTACAGAACACTGTTACCTTGCATCTCACTTTGATGAGATGAGGATGAATCTGCTGTTTATGACTCGATTCAACGAGTCGATTCCTCTGTTAGCAATGACCTGTTAAGAGATGAAGTACTAAGTCTGCACGTGTACCAGAACACCAACCCTGACTGAGACCCCCCACCAAAATCTGTGCACCCTACCTGGGATTCTCGCTGCTCAGAGCTCCTCTGGGTGTAACGTGCACAGGGAGGGACAAGAGAAAACTCTGAGGAAATCAGAAGAGGAAATTCGTCCTGATTATGTTGATGACAGCTCTTTATCAACTCATTTCTTGCAGTCTTTCAGCTGTCAGCATCAAAACTCTGCGTGTTGTTTTCAGCTGACGTGAATGGCTGCCACTGCTCCTGGAAACTGAAGGATCATTCCTGCAGTAATGAAGTAAAAAACCACTGACGTTACCATTCCAGACTTTCACCGGGGGATACAGCTGCAGTCCAGTTTACAAATCTGAGTTCAGAATGACTTCCCAGAAGCCAGAGGAGTTGTTCCAGCTTTAAGGCTGTCTCAAACTTCTTGTTTCAGCACATTCATGGCCTTTTTCTCAAAATGATTTGAAGTTATGGCGTGTAGATTTCAAGTGTCCACTCAACTTTCTTCATTTTCTCTTTTTGTTTTAAAGTATATTTGGTGCTGTTCGAACTGGTGCTTATATGCTGTACATTCTGATGACCAAAGGCCTGAAGCAGTCAGTGTGTGACCAGAGTTTTTACATTGGACCTGTCAGCAAATTCTGGGCATATGCATTTGTGCTAAGCAAAGCACCCGAACTAGGTGAGTAGCCTCTCTCCCTTTCTCTCACCATGCGTATTTAGAGCAGAAATGTCTGTGCAGGAAGCACAGGAAAGGTCTCGGTGCTACCAAAACCTCGTTGTAGTCTTAGAAAAAGTGAGTAAACAAAACCAACCCCAAACTCTGCATGTTTTAGTCTCTAGAGATTAAATCCAGCTTGGCTGAAGTTAGAGCAGTGTGCAGTTGAATAAGACCATTCCCAGGCCAGGAATAAACTGATTATACACAGTGATTATACACAGTGGGGCAGTCAAGAGGTAAGAGCAATCTGGTCCATACCTCTTCCCTAGCTGCTTGTAGGCACATACGAGTAGCGTGATCAGCAGTCACTCACCCTGTGGGTACAGAAGTGAAGGGTGGGCTACAGCAGCTGTGTCAGCAAGAAGCTTTGAGTCAGGTTCGAACTCCGTTCTGCAGCATTCGTCCTTAGATACACAGGTAGGCGTACAATTATGAACAGCAACATGCTTCCTCCCTAGACATCGAAATTTAGTTGTTAAAACTGGAAAACATCAGCTAGAACTGCACAGCGACAATAAACTGAACGTGTGATTACTTATTAAGATGTGAGTCAACATCTTGCAGCTAATGAAGTAAACTAGCATTACAGCTTATTACAGACCTTGTGCAGACAGTGCAGTTCTGGTTCCACCCATCACTAATATTCATGATGTTGATTTCCTGGGATACATATATGTAGAAATAAGTCCCCAGATTCAAATCTCAGGGATCTTTTTGGAAACACCGTGTCTGTAACAATAGAAAACAAGTAGCATACACACATACATATATCTAATTGAGATGCTCAGTGCAATCATGAGAAGCAGAAGGAAGAAAAAAGCAGGAAAGAGGAATAAAATTTACTTCTCTCCAATAGCAACATGAATTTGCAGAAAAGGATGTGCATTTCAGCATAAACCAACTTTCTTTCCAGAAGCATTTTTTTCTGGCAATTACATGCCTTTCAATGTCGTAGGTTGCATACGCAATAGCTTTTTGCGTAGTAGCTCAAAAGGCTCTACTGAGTTTAACTAGGTTCAGTTTGCAGGTAGGCATCTGAATCGAGGGGCAGTGTGCTGCTTCAGGTTTTCTGCTCCCCTGTCAAGCTGCGTTTCTCTTCGAGTCCCAGTACATAATGTCCAGTCTCACAGCCAGAGGTGATACACCTACATCCACCTACCTCACCTCAGACTTTCACGGATTATGTTTGCAGTAAAGCGCTACCAGGTGAACCCATGGAGCTTTCAGACGGGTTATCCACACAGGAAAATATGGCTACGCCGGTTTTCCAAAGATTGCATAGAGATTAGGAGCCAAGCTGGCTCTCAGATCAGACAGGCTCTCAGATCTAGAGCTGTGGTGGTTTTTCAGGCTCCAAAATAGTGTATACTCTAGCAACAGCAAAGGGGAGAGAGCACTGTAGTAATTATGGAATTGTCAATATGTTTCTCATTTCCTCCCCTCTTTTTTTTTTCTTTTTTTTTTTTTGTTTTGTTACAGGTGATACAATATTCATTATTCTTAGGAAACAGAAGCTCATCTTCTTACACTGGTACCATCACATTACTGTGTTACTTTATTCTTGGTATTCCTACAAGGACATGGTGGCTGGTGGTGGCTGGTTCATGACCATGAACTATGGAGTACACGCCGTCATGTACTCTTACTATGCCTTGCGGGCTGCTGGCTTCAGAGTCTCACGCAAGTTTGCCATGTTCATCACCTTGTCGCAGATCACTCAGATGTTGATTGGTTGCGTGGTTAATTACCTGGTCTTCTCCTGGATGCAGCAAGACCAGTGCCATTCCCACGTGCAGAACATCATCTGGTCCTCTCTCATGTACCTCAGCTACTTCGTGCTCTTCTGCCATTTTTTCTTTGAGGCCTATATCGGCAAAAGCAGAAAAGAAAGGAAGGTTGACTAGTGGTAGAAACGAGAAGCCATAGCTCAGGGTCATCAAGAAAAACAAAATTATAAGAAAAGAAAATGGCACAAGGAAACACATATATGTATGGTGCAGCTAAAACTTGGCAGCTTAGGGAAAGTTAGCTTGCTTTAACCCAGTAAGTTTATGATCCTATCATGGTGAGGACTCACTGAATTCTACTCTGTCTCAAAGGACTGCTGATGAAAGACAACTTCCTTCTTGTACCTGTCTGCTCTAGAAAAGAAAGGAGAAAAGAAAGAAGAGGAAAAAAGGAAAGAAAAAGGAGAAGAAAAGAGAAGAAAAGAAAAGAGAAAAGGAGTAAGGTTGAGGGGAAAAAAAAGTACCTTAAATAAGCAGTGTGTTTCCCCAGGGTGGAGGAGAGACTTTTATTTAAAAAAAAAAAAGTTTCTAAATCCTTTCTAATAATTTTTCAGCATTTAACTTGAACAAAACAATGCAGAGAGGTGACAAAAAAATCTATGATAACAGTAAGATTGCAAAATTAAAATCTTTTCCATGGAAGTGTGATACCTTTAGCCAAAATGAAGCCCAAAAGGATGTTTCCTGCATGGCAGGTGTGGCTGAACTCCAACTGTGGTGATGAATGGAAAAGAGAAGAGATTGATCTCTCCGCTATGTGCTCTGCCGGGGGAGCAGATCTGGGATGCAGAGTTGCCTCCCTCAGAAGGCAGAAAGGAACAGTACTTTTACAAGAGTTTAATGTGAAAAGATGCACTGTTGCAATAGATATCTCGGAGAGTGCATTTTCCAAGTGCATTTTCCAGTTAAAGGCAAGGAATTTCTGCAGCAGGATAAGTCATACTGGGTTAAATCAATATTTGTTAAATTACCAGGGGGCTAATAGCAGAGGGATGTTCAGGAAGGAGAGGGAGGCAACTCCCCTCACATGATTTTTAGGAATTATCCGTTAATCTCAGTTTAACCTGCAGCGACACTGAATTAAATGGGGGAAATCGGAAGAAATCCTACGTAGCGAGAAGAGAGTGATATATCTGCCCACTGTTTTCAGAACAGAGCCCTGTTGGTACAATACGGATTCTGTATTTCTGTGGACACAAGGGTACCTGCCTGGGTGGGAAGAGGTGGCAGGACTGCGTGACATTGGGTAACACTGTGCTTCTGCATCTGCCTCCTGGGCAGTGCAAAGATGTTCAAAGTGCCCTCCTCTGGTCATGTGGAGATACTACTCCAAAACATACTTGGAATAGGTTTTTCTTGAGATTTGTATAGAAAAAATTAGTCTAAACGGAGTAATTTTGCTGCAACAGCTTAACTCTAAAGTCCAGAGAGAATAATTCTTCATTAAATATATATCCCTCTCTCTGCAGAATCTGTACCGTAACATCAGACT